CGCAGAAAATAAATATGACAAAAACATAAGTTGAGCTGGTGGTTCTTGCGAATTTGGGTCACAAGTTGAGAGGTCACTGGGATTTATGGATATTTTTTGGTTTAAGTGAAAGTTCAAGGTGGAATTGAAAAAAATTATTTTGTTCACGAAGAGAAATAAAAGATTTTTTGAGGAAAAAGAGAGTGCTGAATATATTTTAGGAAAATGTGAGGACGAGATAATAGATTTTTTGGGAAAAAGAGAGCTTATCTTTTTTAGGAAACTGTGCAAGATTTACGAGTAACAGTTATATTGAAGAGATGGAGAAAAGTTATATTTTCTTCGCCAACTTTTGAACTGTTTGTCTGATACAAAATGGAACCTTTGACAAATTTGTATAGATTTAAATTGTCTACAAAGTTGTCTAACACCGTAATGCTCTACAGCAACTCGGTATACTCTAAAATCCAGGAAAATAGATGTTAAGTTGAGTTTTGATGCGCGAAGGTACGAATTTATTTACATTTTATTTAATAACATCTAAACTACCTTATTTCATTAGTAACTTTAGAGTAAATATTACCCTCAGTGCAAAAGGATCGTTCTAGAAGACTGAAATTTGAATATGTTATACTGCAATATGTCTATTATAATAACAAATACTAATAAATTGTTATATCTTCTCACAAAATCAAAAGATATTTAGATTTTTCTTGAATGGTACCATTCTTCAATGGTAGTGTTAGATAATTGAAACTTCAAAGTAAATATCACACTCAGTGCACAAGGATTGTTCTAGAAAACTGTAAATTAATATGTTATGTTATTTGATTCATCTGATCAAATGGAACTTTGACAGATTTGTACGCAATTGAGTTATCTAAAAAGTAGCTACAACACGGTCTAACACAGTCTAAATGCACCAAGATATTTTTATATCACGAATCACAATGATCCCGACTTTTATCATTTTACCTTATAAATGCCATAACTTTTAAACCATTGGATCATTATTATTGATGTCTTCGGCAAATTTGTATAAATTAAATAATCTATAACATTGTCTAACATCACAATGCTCTACACAACAACTCGGTATACTTCAAAATTGCATCTGAACTTATTAATTTAAAGTTTAAATTGTTGATCGTTAATAAATTTGAACACCTTTGGCATTGTAATTTCTCTGAAAACTCTTTTTTAAAAAAAAATGAATTCGTTTAAAATACTTAAATTTGTTCGAAAATCTTCAAGAATTGAATTGAAAAATTAATTTTGCACAAAATCTTATCTTATGCTTTAATAAGATGAGATTTTTGTATTGGAACTCTACTTTATGGAATAGTTATAATAATTTGAGTTTTGAATAATATTTTGAATATTTTTATTTAAAAAAGTTTGACTCTGTTTTCCCTTCAAGGAAATGCAACTGCAATTCAAAACAAAAACAAAAACAATATAATTTAATTAACAGATCGTTAATTAATTATAATTAGTTGTGTTACAAGATTTATTACGACAACAAAATCTATGCACGCGTCGATTGATATATATTTATGAAGAATATATATATATGATTTTTTTAAAAATATAAATTGTTAGATTTTATTTTGCTCGTCAGTAGAGTTCTTTTTCATTTTTTTAGTTTCTTAGTTTAAATATTTCGTTTAAAAAATTTCATTAATATCTTATAATAATGATTTAACTTGCTTGTCAGTACAGTTCTGTTTTCTTTAATTGTGTTTTGCTCGTCAGTAGAATTCCTTTAGAGTAATGGAGTACTTAGAGTAATTGTGTCAGTAAAGTACATCACATCGTTTGTACCTATTTGCTCGTAAGTAGAATTCTTTTTTCTCTAATTGCAACATTTATAATATAAAATCAATATATAGTTAAATAGGAATTTAACTCTTATTCAGTCTGCTCGTCAGTAGAGTCCTTTTTTCCTGTAAAAATATATTTGGCTTGTTTCATCCAAGTACCATTTTTAATATAAACTTTAGCCACATTTTTCCTAATTTGCTTGTTAGTAGAGTTCTTCTTTCTTTCTTTCTTTGCAACATTTATATTATAAATGAATATATTAAAACTCTTTATTCAGTTTTTCGTCATTAGAGTTCCATTTCTAATAAAAATTTAACTACATTTCTCTTAATTTGCTAGTCAGTAGAGTTCTTTCTACTCTCTTTGCAATATTTATATAATAAATTGGATAGATGAATCTCGTTATTCAGTTTGCTCGTCAGTAGAGTCCCTTTTCCTGTACCTATGTGTATATATTAGTCTTGTCAGTATAAATTATCTCTCTCTC